GGATTGTTATATCATTTGAAACAAACGCTTCGCTAGTTGTGACTTCACAGCCGTCATACACTCTGCCTGACTTGGTGGAACAAGGTAATTGGATTGTTATATCATTTGAAACAAACGCTTCGCTAGTTGTGACTTCACAGCCGTCATACACTCTGCCTGACTTGGTGGAACAAGGTAATTAGATTGTTATATCATTTGAAACAAACGCTTCGCTAGTTGTGACTTCACAGCCGTCATACACTCTGCCTGACTTGGTGGAACAAGGTAATTAGATTGTTATATCATTTGAAACAAACGCTTCGCTAGTTGTGACTTCACAGCCGTCATACACTCTGCCTGACTTGGTGGAACAAGGTAATTAGATTGTTATATCATTTGAAACAAACGCTTCGCTAGTTGTGACTTCACAGCCGTCATACACTCTGCCTGACTTGGTGGAACAAGGTAATTAGATTGTTATATCATTTGAAGCAAATGCTTCGCTAGTTGTGACTTTTGGGTTTTTCCTCATACTTCCATCAGATCTTAGTCTTGGAGTTCAGGAGTTATGTTTATAAAGTCCAGCAGTACTGTACGTTTCTTCCTAGCATGTAAAGTCTTGTAGCACGTGTCATGCACGTGGTATTTTCCAGAAAACGATGATTGCACTTTCTGATGAACCTCATCTCCACACTTCTGTGATCACTCAATACAACTACTTGGGACCTAATGTTAAAACAACAAACTACACCAGGACATGTAATGAAAAGAAACAAAATTAAAGCATGTAACTGACAGCATAAGCAGTAATAACAGCAAGAATGGGCCTGGCAAGGCCAGGTGGTTAGGGCGCTCAACTCGCAATCTGTCACAACAAACATGCTCGTCCTTTCAGACGTGGGGGCGTTATAATGTGACGGTCAATCCCACTATTCGTGGTAAAAGAGTAGCCCAAAAGTTGGCGGTGGGTGGTGATGAATAGCTGCCTTCCCTCTAGTCTTACACTGCTAAATTAGGAACGACTAGCGCAGATAGCCATCGTGTAGCTTTACGCGAAGTCCCTAACAAACAAGCAGCAAGAACAGTAGAAGCAATAATAGTATGTTAATAGCAGATGCACCAGCAGTAGCAACAGTAGCAGCAGCAACAGCAGTAGCAACAACAGCAGTAGTAGCGTTATAAACAACAACTGAGCATTAATATTTTCATCAGTAGTCGCGACTTTCTTTATGTATAGACCTGAAATACTGCCACTGGAGGAGTAGGACATTAAGGCTTAGAGGCCTTGAGAATTTGAAGGTGAATGTATGTGACAGACATATTTAATATTGACAAAAGCTTTATTCTAAGTCTCAAACGAAAACAGGCACTAGTGATTGTTTTTGTAGATACATATAGTAATTTATTATTATGTTTTGATTTCAATAACCAGGTATAAATACACAAATATTTAATGAGTTTAATACAAAGAACATCAAATAAATTTCTGAAAAGTTCGATACCCGCGGTAGGCAGAGCACAGATAACAAATTGTGTAGCTTTGTGCTTAATTACATACAGACAAACAAACTTAATGTCCTAAAATATTGAAGTTTTAATTTTCTAACAAAATCATTCAAACAATTATGTTTGGTGTTTTTATTAAATCATTATCATGAATAAAATTCGGTGCCAAAACCTTTGTTGTATTGATTCAATGTTTAATAGTAATCTTTTCACACAAAAAAGTACATTGCATAGGTCTAGCTTTGACATGAAAACAAAAAAAATTCCCACGCAAGAATTTGTGTGAATTTTATTTTTTCCTGGAGCTTTCAGATACCTATACGCATGTTTTAAGACCAAAACTTGGTTGTTATGGAAAAAGTCCGGGTTGGCCATATTTTGTATCAATTTCTACTGGACTATGGTTTATAATGCAATATAATAATGTATTTATGTATTATAACATAATTTATTTAGTAATAAAACGCATATGCTCAGCTGATCCATTTAATTTAAGACTGCCATATTTTGAGCTGACCATAAATAACGTGTATGATTAATGATTTTGACAATATTTTATATTATTTACCAATGGTCCCTTATTATATTTATTTCCTGGATCATCATATATAGAACCGCTACCAGGTGCTAAACCTGTTCGTTTTCTAAATTGTTTTACTTTGTGTCGCCCTAGAAAATCTCTATACCAGATAGTTTTTATTTTCCTGCATCAACTTCAAGTTCAGTTAATCCTGAAATTATGTTGTGGTAACGAGATTAGAACATTTCTGGGATTACGATATGAAATGAAACAGTAGATTAAAATGGCTGAATTGTTGCTGGATTCAGATATCAGATTGTGGGTTTTTTTACCAATAGTTATACTAACATTTCTAATAGGAATTGTTCGACATTATGTTTCAATTCTTATTTCATCTACAAAGAAAATTGAATTGCAGCAAGTTCAAGACAGGTGTTTTATTTTATCACTATTAATCATAAGTTTTAATATTCTGTTATTGGCACTCCCTTGATACTGTGTTACTGTTAGTATTAGTGTTACTACATTATTATAGTACATTAGTAGTAGTAGGTTACTTTCTAGTGTGTTACTAATACTAGTGTTGGCTAATAACTGAAGGCTGTCAATCTGTGAAGCAAAAAAGTACATTTTTTACTCTTTGACGTATGGTTTTCTACTGTCTATGTACTACCAGTAACCTAAAATCTTTAGGTGTTTGAATAATGTGACATTTAAGTTTTTAAGGGACCTTTTGGTTCATCTAGGCCAGTGGTTCTCAAACTTCTTTCACTGATGACACCTTAACCCACTTCCCTCAAGTTAATTTGTGTGACACCCCTGCTGCCACATGCAATATATTTTGTAGTTTTCCATAATTTTAGCTGAAGATTAATTCTTCCTTGTCAAAGTTTATATTTGTGTTCTACCATTCTTCCCATTAAATATGAAAAAAGATGATGCATCAACACTATCAGTTACCTTTACAATCTTAAATACCTCAATCAGATCCCCTCTAACTCTTCTTTTTTCAAGAGAAAACAATTTCAGAGATCTAAACCTAATGTAATGAAGCTCTGTCATAGTGAATCTTTATTATCAGTGGAGTGCCTCAGAAGTTAAGTCTTTGGGCCTGGATTTTTCTAATATAAATGAATAATATTGATAGGGGAATAATTAGTAAAGTTTGTTGATGAAATTAAACTCGGGTATTTCTAACAGTATTGAGGATGTTGAAGTGTTACAGAATGACTTGAATCAATCAGTAAGTAGGACAAAAATTTTCTGAATGACTTTCAATCATTGTATGTTTAAGGTAAGGGATCTGTATGAATTAAACCTTATAACCCAAGCACTTTCGAAAGGTGGACCTTTCATTGTCAGGAGCAAACTGAAAAAGAAAGGTCCACATTTTGAAAGTACTTGGGATAAAGGGTTTTTATTCATTTCTATTAAGACTTCTTGAACATATGTTTTTTTCTAACATCATGAACATTTAATATGTAGTAGATGGGAACTTGGCATAGTCATGGATAAGTCACTTAATCTATTGAAGTGGTGTTTTGTTGCTAGTAGTTAAGTAAGTAGAATTTTAGGATGTTTTTTAAACATTAATTACAAATGACTAAATAAGCCTCTTCATACATTTTTTGGTCACCTTATTTAAGAATGGATATTGACGTTTAGACCAATCAATGTATGTACTATTCTTGACAATTCACATAAGCCTTTTGGTGTTATTTAATAGCCAATCAGTGCATTTATGTCAGAACGTTTTACAGGAGACCTGCTAAAAATCTACAATAATAATTAATAATTTTTAGTCATAATTATGATTAACAGACAAACACAAAAAGCTATTGTGAACACTCTGCTTTAGGTCATCATTTGAGTATCCCTGCTGTTAGTAGTGTTTTGGTCCTTGTGTACTGACCTTGACCTTTTAAACATGTTTTTGACCCTTGTACTGTTCTTGACCTTCTTCACAGTTCACATAAACTTAAAAAATTGTTGTGTAAAATGTTATTTTTGAGCTGAAAAACATTCCTTGATTTATCTTGATAACCCTGTTGAACGACATATAGTAAATTCAGTTTCTAATATGGTAAATATTCACATATATAGCTATTGTCATGCAGTGCTTCCCTCTATATGCAAAATTGTTTTTTGCATGACACAAGCCTTGCACTCCCACATACCCATGATGATCCTGGTTCAACTGCATCTCGCATGCTAATCATCGTGCAACAACCCTCCACCAATAGAACTATCACTTCTCGTTAGACAGTACTATGGTGAAGGTGTGTTTGATTGTGCTCTTGTCATGTGTTTTTGTTTTAATTTTTTTCATACGAATTGGAAAGATCATATATTTCTTTTAGTATTGTTTTATTTTTTAAAGTTTTCAGTGATAAATTACCTTGGTTATTCTTATTTTTTATTTGCAAACTTTTCGAATTTTCTTCATTTTATGATGAATACCAAAGTTAATGTTACTACTTTGGAGGTTCTACCACCTACTATCATCATAATTACACAGTTTTATCTCTTTCCCTGATTTCTTACAATCCTGTTCCTTCCTTATTACATGACACCCCTTCCTCCCAGTATTTTGTTTCCTGATGTCGAGGCTCATGCTGAGCAGTTTGCCTTGGCATCAGGCAGATTACATTTTCCTTGATTCTCAGCAGTTAGAATTACTACTGCCAATATGGGAGGCTGACCCTGACAATCCTGTCCGGTTATCCCAGGCCCAGTTTTTCCACCTTCATCTTACCCTAACGACTTTTCTGTGGTACTTCTCTGCCATGCATCTTCTTTCTGAAGCACTCCACCAATCTTCTGAGGGATCTTCAAGGGATACCTTCTCTCTCCTTACTTCTGTGTTGGCATGACTGCCCTTCTTGACTCTGTCTTTTCACAGTTAGTTTCTTTGCTATTGAGATATTCTGGAGAGAGACTTACCTTCGGGACTTGCGGATGGCTCCTTTTCTCCAACAGTCCATTTTGGGGAATATTCCTGAAACATTTGAATCATGTGTGGCATTCGTGAGGCAACATTTGACCCTTTTGTTCTTTATTGCTTGTTTGTCTCACCCTAGGCCCTTGTACTCCTCTATTCCTGTTTCACATCTGACACCCTCCCATCCTTTAGCTGTTCCCCCCACTAGGGATTCCACATTTTGTCGTGTTTATTGATGCAGGTGTCATAGTCATCAGCAGTACCTGTGGGTTCCAGTTTAGTGGGGGCTTGTTTGACTGATTTTGTTCCTCTCTGCCAGGAATTTGCTTCCAATCATTGGGTTCTTCGGTCTTGTCATAAATTTTTTTTCCCCACACCTAATTGTCTCCTGTACCCTTATCCTTTCCATTACCTTGGGATCCTACTACCAATCAATGTCTGTCAGAAAAAGTATAGACTCTTCTACCAAGGTAGATGTCTCGATTGACTAACTACATATTTGTATTTCTCCTCGGTGCAGATGCTATCTTTAGTTTTTCCATCATGGGTTTGTGTACCTGTTTTGCACCTTGCCCTTTGGGCTTTCTTCAGCTATGTATGTCTTTTGTCGGGTGGTCAAAGCTTTTGCCTGACTTGTGCATGCTTGGGGGTTGTGCATACACTACTACATGGACAACTGGCTTCTGTTAGCTCATTCAGAAATAGTCTTTACATCACATTCACCTCCTTTTGTCAGAAGCTGCTCAAGTGGGTAGGATTATCAAGTTGAATAAGTCTTTCCTGTCCCCGACCCAATATCTTGTCCACTTTGGGATATTTTTCAACTCCCACCTCAGTTGGGCCCAACCTTTTCCTCTTTAACTCCATTTGATGGATCTTTCAGTTCTCAATGCCCTCACTGCTCCCTAGGTTCTATCACTTTTGTGGATGTGGGCTTCTCTGGAATCACTTGTCCCCTTGGATCGGGCACATACGCATTCCCTTTAGTGGACTCTACATGACCAATGGAATCTTGCTCGGGATTCCTTAGATTCTGCTATTACCCTTTCTTTTTTCCCTCATTGAAGATCTGTGTTGATGGTTGAACAAGGACTACACATCATTGGGTGTACTGCTTCTTCCACTTTGACCGGATTTGCATCTCTTCATTGATGCTTCCCTACAAGGTTGGGGGTGTGAGTCGATCAGCAGGAGGTTTCTGGACAGTGGTCTATGATTGAGTGATCTTACCATATTTTCCCTTGGAGCTTCTGGTGGTACAAAGAGCTTTAGATCACTTTTTTCCATAGTCAGGAATTGAATTGTCATGATCCATTCCAACAATTCTACAGCAGTAACTTGTATCAACCACCAAGGTTGCACCTGTTCTTGCTCCCTTTGTGTTGGACTTTGGATCTACATTTTTTGGGCCCACATGCTTGGCATAAGTCTCCTAGCATGTCGTGTTCTGGGTGCTTTCAACCTCATGGTGATTTGTCTTTCCAGACCAGATAAAATTTATCCCAGGTTTCATCATGTTTCCAGTGGCTATGCTCACAGTGGGATAGTCCTCAGCTAGATGTATTTGCTGCTTTCATTAATTCCAAGTTACCTTTTCTTTGGCCTCCAGTTCCCCATCCATAAGCCCTAGCTGTTGATGCTTCACACTGGCCAGGACAACCCTGGTTTCCTCGATTACTTCAACTTTGTTCTGCCCCTCTGTTGCCTCTTCGTCTCATTCCATCTCTTCTAAGTCTACCTCAGATATTGGTATTTCATCCTTGCCTTCCTACCCTCCATCTTCATGCCTGACATTTATCAGGTCCTTGGCAAGGTGATCTGGATTGTCTTGTTGGGTCGCTTCAGTTTTAGCTCATTCCATTTGCCCTTCCTCAGTGGTGGTTTAACAACATAAGTGGAATGTCTTCCACCTTTAGTTTTTGAGTCAGGGTTTTTTCCCTTCTCAACCCACCATTCTCTTATTACAGATTTCCTCACATAGCTGTTTGATCATTGGACTTCAGTCTCGTCTATTGCTGGATATCAAGCAGCCTTATCCCACACCTTCCATTTTTCCCAGTACCATTTTGTGTTTACCTCCCCTACCCTCTCCTTTTTGTTGCATTCCTTCTGAATTTGTAGGACTCCTTGTCAAGTGGTCCTTCTGGATTGGGATGACAATGTGGTTCTTCACTGTTTTACTCCATTTGAACCTTTGTCCTCTTGTTTCACTTGTCCCTTAAGACCTGTTTCCTACTCCTATTAGCCTGTGGGCATCATCAGTCTGATATATTTGCCATCAATGTCTCATGCACTCTGTACCATTCCATATATGTTCTTCTTTATCTGAATCGATCTTTCTGGCTCAAAACTTTAGCAGCTCCCTTTGTTTTATCAAGTGTTTTATCCCCCTTTGTTCTTCTAGTGGAGTGTGGGAGTCCTTGTCACTTTCAAGTTCCGAGCTTCTGGGGTGGTGGACCATGAAGGTATCCTCCTGAATATAATCTAATGCTAATATATAAATACAGAACATTCATTAAGTTGAGAGTAGGGCAGTGGTGTTCTGCTGGTATAAATGACACTTGTTCTCCATTCCTGTGCTCCATCTCCGTATGGTGGGCTCCAAGGGTTGATGTTGTGCCCAGCTTCTGTGGCTATCCAGAGGGTGCAGTTGTGTATCATTTATAGAGGCAGTCCACTTTGTGCGATGGTACCCGTAAGTTAGCGATGCACTCCAATGCTGTACAGTCCTGTTTAAGGAGACAATGCTGCTTTGGAGTTGATCCACCACATTGCAGTTCACCCATTCGATTGGGATTCCTCATCCTACCATCACATGGATGTCAGTTCCTAGTAACTGGTTTTGGATTTTGAGCAGAACCAATCACCATAAATCCTTACACATGTGTAGCCTGTATTTTTCCTATTCCTCACTCAATTTGCCTCATGATCACAAAAAGGGATAATGTTCAAGGAGGCAACAGTTCTCCTTCTGGCACTCCAACTCAAGAAGCTTTTGCAGCCTGAGGTTGTGGTTGCCCTGTGGAGTGCCTATTTGATTGAGTATGATTTGACCTCCCACAGGGGCACATCTCTTACTGCTGTCATTTGGATGTTAGGTTCCTGAATCTCTGGTTAGTTGTGAATTGTGCATGTGTGCCCATTTCACAGATCAGTTTGCATGGTATATTCTTCCACTGAACTTGAAGTAAAGACAGTGTGGACCCTCCTTCTACCACGTATCGGACATTATACTTTAGATTCCGCTTGGTTTTGGACTGGTGTTAACCTGCTGTGTATGGTCCTTCGAACCCTATCCACTTTACACCTACCATCTGTAGAGGATTCATATACAGCCTCTCTTCAACAGGATTGGGATTATGGTATAATATGCTTTGGATTTCAATCCAACCATCTTCTCTCCCTTTTGGTTGTGCTCCTCCACTTTTTCTGCCAGTGTTTGTGACAACTCTTTCCACACTGGGTGAAGAGTATACATGATACAGGAGTGGTGTGGTCTCCCACGTATGATTCTATATTAAGAGGATCATCGGTATAAGGTGTTCTTCAGGTGCTTTTGAAAGATGTTTCTTCCCTTGGACCAGTTCCTCCAGCTGTTTTCTCTTAAACTCGAAGTGATAATTTGGTAGAATTCAAATAGAGGGAGTCACGTGTGTGGGGAGGGTTTGTCGCATGATGATTTACATGCAAGATGTAGTTGAACGAAAAATAACTGTGGGGTATGGGGGAGTGCAAGGCTCGTGGCATGCAAAAAAAGGTCTTGCATACAGAGGGCAGCACTGAATGAAAATATATATATGTAAGAGGAGGTAAGTACTTCTCAGAAATCTATTTTTAATATAGGAAAATTATAACTTTACTTTACTGTAAGAAGTAGGACCACAACAACTGACAATATAAAGTATTTATTAATATACTGTAGTAAATGTTTGTAGTCCTTACCGAATATAAATATCACTTCATTTGTTTTATGTATTAGAAACTTTAAAATCTGTGTCCAGTACAGTTTGCTTTTTTTGGTGGTATAGATTTAAAGTTGGTCTATTGGATGACAGCCAGACTTAATGATACTTCATTGAAAACAGCTTACACACTATGTATAGATACTTGTGCCATTAGGATTTTAGAACATAATGTTTTTATGATATTAAGAATTAAAGTATTTATTGTTTGATCCCAATTGACCTGAATTATATAAAGTAGTAGTAGTATAATATTGAACTAGTATAAAATCAAACTTGTTGTATGTATATATATTTAGTTACTCAAGTTTTTTATCAGTTATTGAACAGTAAAGTGTTGTGTAGCAGGTGCATCACTACATACCAAGCAGTTTCATGACTCGGGCTACTACTGAAAATAATAAAAATGTAATATAGTTTATATAAGATAGGTTGGGAGGTACTGTACGTCTGTGGTACAGGTCTCTTGGGCTAGTGGCCAACGACTCTCTTGCTCTGTAGTTTACTGAAAATCAGAATTATTGTTCAGAGAGTTTCAGCTTTTTTTATGCTTATTCAGATTTTTGTTATTTTGTAGTCAAGCTCTTATACGAAGTCGAATGCTGCGGGAAAATGGGAAATATATACCTAAACAGGTAGGAAATGAGGTTCAAACACAAGTAAAGGTAATAGTTTTATAGATGGTTTACAAAATAACTTATAATACTGTAAAAGATGTAGCTTAATATGATTAAAGAATGATCAATTTTAACACAAAAAGTGCAAAATAAAATATTTTGTTTAGGATTTTTATTTCCTCATTGTTTATAAAGTTCTGATTGAAGTTAGCAACCTTCTGGACTTAAAGGTAGATTTACACAGCTAAAATTTTATTTCTAATATTGTTACGTAAAGAGGTTCTTATTGTTGGACTGCCAAGAGGTTCTTATTGTTGGACTGCCAAGAGGTTCTTATGTTCGACTGCACTTCTGATCAGAGCAAGCTACCTACTTTGAGTGAAAGTAAAAATCAACCTTATAATGACAAAGGTTAATTAAATACATTTTTCTTATGTTTAGATTGTAATGTATTATTTCATCAGTTGGGTAACCTTGCCATTAACAATGTTTTCACCCAGAAAAAGAAACACTGCTACTGCTTAATGAGACCTATTGACCTTCTCGTATTTTTCTTGTTTTTCAAGAACATCATTATAAATATTTATAAGTTTTGTTGTTTCCTATGTATACACATACATTGACATTTTCTTCATAAATCAGAAATCACGAAATTGTTTCGTTTGTATCTTCTGTGATTATTTCATATCAGAAATTCACTTTTTTTAAACAAATGTTGCTTACATGAATAGGCCTTTCTCATGAGGAAACACTTCTTCAACAATGAAGAAAGTGGTTATTTCAAGACTGTTAAGCGAGCTCCTGCCATGCAGAACCCGATGACCGATCCTTCCATGATGACAGACATGTTGAAAGGAAATCTAACCAATGTATTACCTATGATACTTGTGGGTGGATGGATTAACTGGACTTTTTCAGGATTTGTGACCAGTAAGAACTTCACATTTATATTGGTTATCTTTTCTACTTGTTAGATCCAAACACTTAATTCTGTGACATTAATGTTAAAAGGCCTTACTTGTTAGATCCAAACACTTAATTCTGTGACATTAATGTTAAAAGGCTTTACTTGTTAGATCCAAACACTTAATTCTGTGACATTAATGTTAAAAGGCTTTACTTGTTAGATCCAAACACTTAATTCTGTGACATTAATGTTAAAAGCCCTGACTTCTTATTTCTGTGACATTAATATTACAATTGTTAATTAATTTTTTATATTTTCCACTAAAGCTAAGGTGCCATTTCCACTGACACTGAGGTTCAAACCGATGTTACAACGAGGTATAGAACTTTCATCCCTTGATGCTTCATGGTAAGTTAAAGTTTACATTAGTTGATGTTAAAGTTTACATTAGTTGATGTTAAAGTTTACATTAGTTGATGTTAAAGTTTACATTAGTTAATGCTAAAGTTTACATTAGTTGATGTTAAAGTATACATTAGTTGATGTTAACGTTTACATTAGTTAATGTTAACGATTACATTAGTTAATGTTAACATTTACATTAGTTAATGTTAACGTTTACATTAGTTAATGTTAACGTTTACATTAGTTAATGTTAAAGTATACATTAGTTAATGTTAAAGTATACATTAGTTGATGTTAAAGTATACATTAGTTAATGTTAACGTTTACATTAGTTGATGTTAAAGTATACATTAGTTGATGTTAAAGTATACATTAGTTAATGTTAACGTTTACATTAGTTAATGTTAAAGTTTACATTAGTTAATGTTAACGTTTACATTAGTTAATGTTAACGTTTACATTAGTTAATGTTAACGTTTACATTAGTTAATGTTAAAGTATACATTAGTTAATGTTAAAGTATACATTAGTTGATGTTAAAGTTTACCTTAGTTGATGTTAAAGTTTACCTCTGTTAATATTAAAGTTTACATTGGTTGATGTTAAATTAGTTAATATTGAAGTAGATGTTTACATTAGTTGATGTTAAAGTTTACCTTAGTTGATGTTATAGTTTACCTCAGTTAATATTAAAGTTTACATTAGTTGATGTTAAAGTTTACATTAGTTGATGTTAAAGTTTACATTAGATGATGTTAAAGTTTACATTAGTTGATGATAAAGTTTACCTTAGTGGTAAACTTTAACATCAACTAATGTAAACATCTACTTCAATATTAACTAATTTAACATCAACTAATGTAAACTTTAATATTAACTGAGGTAAACTATAACATCAACTAATGTAAACTTTAACATCAACTAAGGTAAACTTTAACATTTACTAAGGTAAACTTTAACATTTACTAAGGTAAACTTTAACATTAAACTTTAACATTAACTAAGGTAAACTTTAACATTAACTAACATTAGTTGATGTTAAAGTTTACCTCAGTTAATGTTAAAGTTTACCTTAGTTAATGTTAAATTTTACCTTAGTTAATGTTAAATTTTACCTTAGTTGATGTTAAAGTTTACCTCAGTTAATATTAAAGTTTACCTTAGTTGATGTTAAAGTAGTTAATTTTTGCTAGGATTTTATAATGATAAAATAACTTTTCAGGTACACATTTCTTGCTTAACGTTATTTATCAACAATACCCCCACCCCACCCACCCACACACACACCTGTATTGTACAGTCTAGTAGTGACTCGTGGAGGATGTGTTAAAGAATCAGTCAAATAATTTGTGGAGTTTCAAAATGCTAAATGTAATGTGATGTTTTTGATTTTCATACTTGGGAGTTGAAGATATTAACGTTCACTTTATCTGTTCCTCCAGTCATTTACACATAACGTAGTTTTTTGGAAAGTCTCGTAAAGTTGGCAAGAACTATGTCATGCTACTTATATTTCATCCTTTGTTGTTACTACTGTTAGATTAGTTTAAAATAGACTCCAGCTCCCACAGAAGAAACTGGAGTAGAATGACGTTATTTCTTTATCATCTTGGTAAAAGATTCCAGCACCTGCAGGAGAAAACTGGAGAAGAAGGATGTTACTTTTCTATTTTGGTCCGGTTTTGTTTTTAATTTTCTATTAATAAAATAACTCGGGCATTAATATTCTTTAGGATGACTAAACACTGACTCAGGCGTTAATATTCTTTAGGATGACTAAACACTGACTCAGTTAATATTTTTTAGGATGACTAAACACTGACTCGGGCGTTAATATTCTTTAGGATGACTAAACACTGACTCGGGCGTTAATATTCTTTAGGATGACTAAACAATGACTCAGTTAATATTTTTAGGATGACTAAACACTGACTCAGGCATTAATATTCTTGATGACTAAACACTGACTCGGGCGTTAATATTCTTTAGGATGACTAAACACTGACTCGGGCGTTAATATTCTTTAGGATGACTAAACACTGACTCGGGCATTAATATTCTTTAGGATGACTAAACACTGACTCGGGCATCACTGGCCAGTATTTAGCTATCTATGTTTACTTAGCGGTGGGTTTATTTTGAAATATGTTATATTGGTGGATTATTTATGACATTCTTGGCATCACTGGCCAGTATTTAGCTATCTATGTTTACTTAGTGGTGGGTTTATTTTGAAATATGTTCTATTATTTTTGGACAAAGCCGATGATTCATTTTTCCTTCACTCTTATGTTTATATTTTAGGGTCAGTTCTGCATCCTGGTATTTCTTAAATGTCTTTGGACTGAGGAGCATATACACACTAGTTCTAGGAGAAAATAATGGTAAGTACATGGACTTGGAGAAGAAACAAAATATAATCTTAGAAGGTGCTGAAAAATATTTTAAACTCTAATCTTGTTTAACAGCGTCATCATGCATTTGATTGTAAAATGATTTATGGATATATAAAATGAAGGACTACATTTTCAAAAGGACAAGCTCTGGATTATTAATTTTATTGTTTGTTAGAATGTTTATTATAGGGTTGTGACTATTCTTTAGCCCTATCGAGACGGGTCTTCCTATGGTCAGGGATCAAAGGGCATGTCATTACGTTTGTAGACTTACATTCAAAATGTTATTGATCTACTATTTTATGAATGTATGCCAGTAAGTTTAGTATCACATTGTAGATTATAATTCAAATTTTGATATTATACATTAGTTAATCTCTTAATTTAAAAGTAAATATTTAAAATATTTGTGTCACGTGGTATGTTGAATGCAGCTTTGGTTCAAAATAGATGTTTGTGATGTCCAACTTAAAGTCTTAGTTTCTTACGATTGAGGAACTCAAATTACCAATATTAACAAACTAGGATATAAAGTAACAATCTTGTATCTTTTATATTTGCTGAGATGTAGCTGGATTTAGTGAATGAAACACAGTGGCCCCACCCATCCATTTGTATTTTTTGGAAATGTTTACATACCCCCTACTTCTGTCTCTGACGTGTAAATAACCAATCAAAAGCTCAGAATGTCCCCCACATGGTTCTCTGAGCTTCTGTAAAGTATTTAAATGGGAAACCCCCCTTTTTTTCATGGTAGTAAGGTAAGACATTATTGAGCTCAAAAAATCAAATGTTTTAGACCCAAATACAGCTTAGTTACTAAACTTGGATAAATTATATGGTATCGATATAGTAATTGATGACTTTTTGTTATTTTGAAGTACATCTATGGTGCTCATAAAAACCAACAGTTATCATATCTATGGTGCTCATAAAAACCAACAGTTATCATATATCTGGTGCTCATAAAAACCAACAGTTATCATATCTATGGTGCTCATAAAAACCAACAGTTATCATATCTATGGTGCTCATAAAAACCAACAGTTATCATATCTATGGTGCTCATAAAAACCAACATTTATCATATCTATGGTGCTCATAAAAACCAACAGTTATCACATCTATCAGTTTAAGGTCAAATAAGCTACTTCTTCATTGGTTTTGTTCTACCATTAATAGAATTGGTCAACACTTTAGCTTAGTATTAGGTATATAGTTGAGTGTCTGTGTTATTACACAGGTGCTGGATTAGTGACTAGAGGATCTTGACTTAATTTGAAATGTGATAAAAGAAGAATAGGGTTTCTTCTAATGACTGGATGATTTTGGTTATTGTTTGAGTTAGTAGATATGATTTTTCACCTTAGCTGCCGACCAGACAAGAGCTATGCAAGATCAGATGTCAGGAGCTGCCATGGCAATGCCACCTGATCCCAAACAGGCCTTCAAGGTGATGTTTCTTTCTTTACATAACTCGAAGAACACTGTTGTGTTGTCTTACTACTGATTAACTGTATATGTTAGTATTTAAAGTGTGTGTGTGTTTATACTAGCTATCAGTCAACTTATCATATAAACAACTGACAATGTATGCTGCTACATATTAACTAGATTCTTTTGGTTCATAAACTTTGTTAAAAATAACATTTGCTGTTTTGTTCCAAAATGTTCTACACTTACTTTCACAAAACTTTCAAAATTACATAAACTTTTGATGTAATGTATACAACAAACAATTCATGATTTTCTGATATTTTAATAATTTTAGTTGTAATAAGGAAAACAAGCATGAGAGATGAAGTTGCTGCAACAAGTATATAAGATCATCTGTGTAACTGAACAATGAAGGATATAGATAAAATATCAGATGTTTGACATAAATCAGTAAATGATGTAAGAACCTTGTAGTACTTGACTCAGGCTCATGTTTCAGGTCGAGTGTTAAACACTAGAGATAGTTCTGTGTTGTGTAAGAACCCTGTAGTACTTGACTCAGGCTCATGTTTCAGGTTGAGTGTTAGACACTAGAGATAGTTCTGTGTTGTGTAAGGACCCTGTAGTACTGTAGGACTTGACTCAGGCTCATGTTTCAGGTCGAGTGTCAGACACTAGAGACAGTTCTATGTTGTGTAAGAACTCTGTAGTACTTGACTCAGGCTCATGTTTCAGGTCGAGTATTATACACTAGAGACAGTTCTGTGTTGTGTAAGAACTCTGTTGTACTGTAGGACTTGACAGAGGGTGTCATATTTTAGGTTGAGTGTTAAACACTAGAGACAGTTCTATGTTGTGTAAGAAATCTGTTGTACTGTAGGACTTGACAGAGGGTCATATTTTAGGTTGAGTGTTAGACACTAGAGACAGTTCTGTTTTGTGTAAGAATTCTGTTGTACTGTAGGACTTGACAGAGGGTCATATTTTAAGTTGAATGCTAGACACTAGAGATAGTTCTGTGTTGTGTAAAAACCCTGCAGTACTGTAGTACTTGACTCAGGCTCATGTTTCAGGTCGAGTATTAGACACTAGAGACAATTCTTTGTTGTGTAAGAAATCTGTTGTACTGTAGGACTTGACAGAGGGTGTCATATTTTAGGTTGAGTGTTAAACACTAGAGAGAGCCCTGTATAATTTTTCTTCCATTCAAGGCTGAGTGGGAAGCACTGGAGATCTGTGAGCATCAGTGGACCCTGGACAATGTAGAGAATGAAGTCTGTGGCCTTTCAGTTCAACAAGATGTAGTAGATTAAAAGTTATTTATTTAAGTTAAAAATATAACAAGTTCTTTAGTGATGGTCATGGTAAACATTTATATATGTTTGTGTGTAGTTTAAAGTTTAAATCTATATGATAATTTCTTGTTTAAAATATAGGTAAGTATTCCAATTTAAAAACAATACCCCGTCAGTAATATGTTTTACAGCATATTGTCGTAGAAAAACAATACCCCGTCAGCAATATGTTTTACAGTGTATTGTCGTAGAAAAACACCTGACTGGGGTATTGTTTTTCTACGACAATACGCTGTAAAACATATTACTGACGGGGTACTATGACAATACGCTGTAAAACATATTAAAGATATTTTTTGAGAAAATATCATGTGAATGCAGTTATGTAAACCGTAACATTTGAAAATATAGTTATTATCATTCATATTATTTGTTTTCTGATATATAGAACATATTAGTATCTGCACACTTTCATTATATGTTTTCTGTGTATTCACGGTGTCTCTCAAGAACAAATACTGTATCTTTTAAAAGTATCATATGCATGGTAGTGATCCTCATAGATGACTTATATTGTATAAATGGAAACTGTGGTTGTAATTAGTCACAATTAACAATATCTCAGTTTGTTATTTTGAAATAAAACTGTGCTACATGTGGTGTATGTAACGATAGAAACTTTTCCCTGAAATATAATTATAGTCAATTAAAATTACAATAAAAGTTTTCTTAATGGAAACATTTGGGTTTGTTTTTCTTATCTTTAGATGAAGAAGGATTCAGATAATATATTGATTTGAATTGAAATTACAAAATATTAATTACAATTGTTTAAAATATTCATTGCATGCATTCACACAGCATTTAAGATTTTCTAGTGTTTACAAATAAGTGGATATTTTCAGTTTCAAACATATATTAACTTTGTAATATCCAGGTACACTGGTGTCCAACAATTAAGTATCCAATAAACACAGATTTTATGCAGAGTAATATTTGAAGTAAAAGAAGTACAACTAGACTATTCTAAAGAGGAACACATTTTTTAGTCATTCAAATGGTCAAAGCATTTAATTTGGCTGACCAGCTTTTTGTTTAGTATATGTCTTCTTCTGGCTGCTGGGGTGGAGAAAGAATATGTACACGAGATAATCAAAGCAAGATCATGGAGATACCCAACTTTTATGTCAGGCTGAGATCCTAAAGCAGTATCCCATAATTATTTCTATTACATATTATTGATAGTAACCAGAAGGGCCTGGCATGGCCAGGTGGTTAGGGCACAAGACTCTCAATCTGCGGGTCGCGGGTTTGAATCCCTGTCACACCAAACATGCTAGCCCTTTCAGCCATGGGGGCATTATAATGTGATGGTCAATCCAACTATTCATTGGTAAAAGAGTAGTCCAAGAGTTGGTATTGTTGATGTCCAAGTACCTTTGTGGAGCAATGATGACCATTGTTTCTTTCTTTGTTTCAAGGTGGTACTGTGGATGTCCAGATACCTTTGTGGAGCAATGATGACCATTGTTTCTTTCTTTGTTTCAAGGTGGTACTGTGGATGTCCAGATACCTTTGTGGAGCAATGATGACCATTGTTTCTTTTTTTGTTTCCAGATGGTACTGTTGATGTCCAAGTACCTTTGTGGAGCAATGATGACCATTGTTTCTTTCTTTGTTTCCAGATGGTACTGTTGATGTCCAAGTACCTTTGTGGAGCAATGATGACCATTGTTTCTTTCTTTGTTTCAAGATGGTACTGTTGATGTCCAAGTACCTTTGTGGAGCAATGATGACCATTGTTTCTTTCTTTGTTTCAAGATGGTATTGTTGATGTCCAAGTACCTTTGTGGAGCAATGATGACCATTGTTTCTTTCTTTGTTTCAAGATGGTATTGTTGATGTCCAAGTACCTTTGTGGAGTAATGATGACCATTGTTTCTTTCTTTGTTTCAAGATGGTATTGTTGATGTCCAGATACCTTTGTGGAGCAATGATGACCATTGTTTCTTTCTTTGTTTCAAGATGGTATTGTTGATGTCCAAGTACCTTTGGGGAGCAATGATGACCATTATTTCTTTCTTTGTTTCAAGATGGTACTGTTGATGTCTAAGTACCTTTGGGGAGTAACTGATGACCATTGTTTATTTCTTTGTTTATAGATGGTATTGTTGAAGCTGATATCAACCGTTTCTTCATTTTTTTGCAATGTTGATTTTCATACTGTATTTCTCACATGCTGTGTTGAGTCTGTTGTTGGGGGTTCTGAAGTACTGGCTCAGTGAATGAGGTTCTGGTCATCTGTAAACAGGGGTTGACTTACTGCCCCTTCACTTGGATTAGCCTCAGACCAGAAACATGAATGGGACAGCACACATTCTTATGTGGTTTGGAACTAGTTTGTCTGTAAACTTTTGGTTCTGAGAGTGCAGTTTTTGTCCTTTTACATTCACTAGAAGTTCATCCTTGCTCTCTGTTTCTTCCATCACTGTCCATGATCTCTCTCAGATGACCTGGTTAAACGTCTTTTCTGATCAGTGAAGACCATATTAAGGCCTTAGTTGAATTGTAGAGTCCTCTCTCAGAGCTGTTTCAGAGGTATCAGGTAGCTGTACTTCCTAAAGGACTTGCTATCGAGACTGTTGTTTTGTGAATCTTAGTAACTTGTTATTGATGCTATTATTATGTGATGATTAATGGTTAAGTATTGAGACTATTATTATGTGATGGTTAACAACTTGCTGTTGAAACTTGTTACATGATGGTTAACGACTTGTTATTGAGGATATTGTGTGGTGGTTAAGAATTTCGTATTCAGACTATTGTTATATGATGTTTAAAGACTTGGTATTGATACTGTTGTTATTTGTAGTCATGGGTGCGCTATAAGAGTGATAGTCCAATCACACTATTTGAACTGAGAAGTGTAACCTAAATTATGATGGTTGGTGCTGTTGAATAGCTGCCTTCCCTCTGATCTGTGTGATGAAAATTAGGAGTGAAAAGTGAAACAGTCTTTGTGGCAGATCTTGGAGACGGTTACATCTCAAGTTTTTGAGCAGTAAACTTTACAAAATGAATCTTCTAACTCAACTTGTAAGCTATGATTACCGACCGACACGTGTTGGACTCTACAAAATGAGTCTTCTAACTCAACTTGTAAGCTATGATTACCGACCGACACGTGTTGGACTCTACAAAATGAGTCTTCTAACTCAACTTGTAAGCTATGATTACCGACCGACACGTGTTGGACTCTACAAAATGAGTCTTCTAACTCAACTTGTAAGCTATGATTACCGACCGACACGTGTTGGACTCTACAAAATGAGTCTTCTAACTCAACTTGTAAGCTATGATTACCGACCGACACGTGTTGGACTCTTCAAAATGAGTCTTCTAACTCAACTTACAAGTTATGGCTACCATCACATGTTTAAAACTAACAAGACACACAGATGAGAAGTTTCTCAAGTGAAACTTGTGTGTAGACTATAAATATAGGAAACATGTTCTCGAAGCCACACAATAAAAACAATTCTCTTTGGACAAAAGAAAATAATTATCTCCAGAGAAAGTAACATTTTACACTGTGAATTAACTGAAGAGAATTTGAAAAGTACGACATCAAAATCGAACTGCACAAAGTGTTCATGTCACGAGCAAAGAAACATCCTAAGAGTCAAAGACTATCAGAACTCAACTAGCATGTTCTTGTGTCAAGTAGCCTGGGTATCATATATGATTTTAGCCTACAATTATAATATTTTTTCGTTTACTAAACTGCATCTCGACAAACTAACGAATAGACGAAGGTATCATATATGATTTTAGGCTACGGTTATAATATTGTTACGTCTTTGTTCGTTTGTTAATTTCCGGTATAAATTCTTTCCGAGGAACTTCAGCGATATAAGACCTTTCTTAAATAAAACTATACAACTTTGTAATACACAGAATTTCCACAGTCATTTTAACTTAACTACTTTTATAAACACACGCTATAATTCACAGCGATTTACACACTTTACTTACGGTGCCTACTGATCGCTTGACTCAATTATCTATATCTATCTATGCAATTCTATTTTTTTCACTGGCTTTATTTGCCGAGCTTATATACTAAAAAAGAGGGTGCCTGAAACAAACTAGAGTTGCCAGGAAAATTCATGATCCTTCGAGAAAATCCAGCACGCATGCTCCCAGTGTTGCGTGACTTATGCTGTCGTAACAATATGTTTTTTCGTTTACTAAACTGAATCTCGACAAACCAATGAAGAGACGAGGGTATCATATATGACTTTAGGCTACAATTATAATATTTTTTCGTTTACTAAACTGCATCTCGACAAACCAATGAAGAGACGAGGGTATCATATATGACTTTAGGCTACAATTATAATATTTTTCGTTTACTAAACTGAATCTCGACAAACCAATGAAGAGACGAGGGTATCATATATGACTTTAGGCTACAATTGTAATATTTTTACGTTTACTAAACTGAATCTCGACAAACCAATGAAGAGACGAGGGTATCATATAT